CACTCAACATAAAGACTTATGTAGACAGAGACAAGCAAAAAGTCCCTGTTCCTCTATTAACAAACTCAATCTGTTCCCCATACCATTTAAATTAGCATGAAGGACAGCAAACTTCTAATGCAAGGAGCGAAAACTGTTAACTAAAACTTGAAGCTAAATGGAACCCTCATTAAAAAGGCAGTAGAGAAGGGCGTCAAAAAGGTACCAGAAACAGAATCCAGTTAGACTACTCCCTTTCTTGGATACCTAATCCCAAATACATGGAATTAAAGCTGCTTGCCATTGTTATTTTAGCAAAGTTTGTGACCACAAACAGAAAACAATTCAGAATTATACATTCTTTTTCCACGAGATCCTAACAATACAGAGTTCAAAACACTAACCACTGACTTCAGAACGGCACATTTTCTTCTCAGAAGGTAACTGGTCTTCTTTTGCTGTCCGTCTGCCTGGCCTAGCGAAACTAGGAGGGTTGGGCACCAGAACATCGTAGCTCTGGACCAGGGGTTGACCCATTAAAACGTTTGAGAAGTTGGATTCAATCCTTGTAGGTCTAGCAAAACAAGGTTCTCTTACATTACAAGGAGTCTCAGATGCAACACCACAGGATTTGGCAGCGACAGAGGAAGTCAAGCTACTCTGGAAATTTGACTCTGTCCTTGCGGATCTAGCAAAGCAAGGTTCCCTCACATTACAAGGAGTCTCAGATGCCACACAGGATTTGGGAGCGACTGGGGGAGTCAAGCTACCCTGGAAATTTATTGTGGACAGATAACTAGTGAGAAAAAATGAATCATTTCTGAAAGGTTACATTAAAGAATATGTTCATGGTTGAGGAATCTTGAAGCAGGTAAAAATCAAGCAATTGTAGGAACCTCTTCAAAAGAAGTTTGCCTCATAAAAGGACCGAGAGATTCAGACGCTTGGCGTGCAAAATAAATTTTATTATCATATCTTCGGGGCACACCGCAGTTCTGAAATGATGAGTAAATAAAGAATTAATACAAAAGTGACTACACTGCGCGTGTCTGATAATGAAAACTCATAAACATGATCCGATCAATTTCCTTCATTTTCCAGCATTTTCTCGGGAATCACCCATAGCGAACGAGAAAAAGAGGGAGGATCTTAAAAAGGAAATACCATAGGTTGAAGATGGTTTGGTGAGATATCATCCTTTGATGCTGATTGGACAGGGGAAGTGAAGCTACCCTGGAAATTTATTGCGGACAGATAACTAGTTAGAAGAAGAACAGTTTCTAGCAAATCACATAAAAGAATATGTTCATAGTAATGGAATCTTGAAGAATGTCAAAAAATAAAGCAATTGTAAGAACCTCTTCCAGAGAAGTCTGCCTCATAAAAGGACCAAGAGACGCAGACGCTTGGCGTGCAAAATAAATTTTATTATCACATCTTCGGAGCACAGAGTTCAAACTACCACTGCAGTTCTGGAATGGATGAGTAAAGAAAGTAATTCAGAATCAGATGAAACCAGGTATGTGTATAGAAGGGGATGTTATATCCAAGTTATTTCACTATTGCGTTTATTTCATGGAAATCCATGAACATAATACGATCATTTTTCCAGCATTTTCTTGGGAACCAACCATAGTGATCCAAAAGAAAAGGAAAAAACAAAATCCAAAAAGGGAAAAGAAATACCATTGGGAGAAGATGGGCTGGTGAGATATCATCCTTTGATGCAAAGTGAGCTGCGATCGTATGAACTCTGCGTCTCACTACTTCACTCTCCATTTCTCCGACTTCAGCAAATCAGAAGTGAAAAGGAAGATGGCGAAGGAAAAGGCTTTTGCAGCTGAAATGAAAGGATGAAGAATTAAATATCTTTAATGAGAAGGAGATAATTTTTCATTGAAAAGAACAGCGATTTTTCCCTTCCCGCCGTCGAGACAAGAACAGTGATTGGGACCCATTGAATCTAAATATCTTTGGTCTGGTAGATTAGGGGCCACCTGGACCCGAAGCCATAGGATATCGGTGTGACACGCTTTTCTGTCGGCTTTCTGAATTTTCTTGGACCAAAAAAAATTACTACCAGACATTATCCAAACAACCAAATAAAATGATTTCAGTCGAAAATTCAATATAGAAAAGGAAAAATTATAATAGGGTCTCACTCAAAAAATTTAAATATAAATTTTTTTTTAAATCATCAAATTATTCTATAATCTGAAAGGATGTCATTGTAAGAGATTTTTAATTATCAAATTACCCTTTCTTTTTCAGTATATATTGACGACTAAAAGATTAATCATTAACAACTTAAAATTTAGCGATTAACAATTATCGTGGCAAGTATTAACAACCTATTTTTTCAGCACATCACAAAAATATAATGCGTGAGTTATCAATATTTGTTGTGATAGTTGTTAATCATTACACTTTAAATTGTTAACAATTATACTTTTAGTTATCAATGTATACCTTTTAAAAAAAGGATAAGAACAATTTGGTAGCTAAATAAATAAAATTTCTTATAATAAGGTCCTTTAGGATTTCAAATAATTTAATAATTTTTTAAAAAATTATATTTAATTTTTTTAAGTGGGACTTTATTATAATCTTTTGAGAAAGAGCGAAGGACTTGTAATTTTGAAATTAGAAATTAAATTAAGGCTGTATTGTCTTTTCAACCATTTTATTTGGTATGATGCAACAATTTTGACAATTTGAATTAATTGTGTTCTTGAAAAGGAAAGATGGTTGACAATTTGGGTTAATTATCATTTTATTGACATGATAAGTGATCTCAGCTGGTTATGAAAAGAACAAACTCAACATGTGAAACCACTTTAATCAAATGACTTTTATGACTCCATTAGACAAACACGTTGGTTTAATCATCATCATTAGTAATTTAGTATTCAAAGGATCCCCAATCTTTGCACAAAAGAACAAACAATTTTTTTTTTTTTAAAAAAAAAAACCACCAAAGCTTCCCAGTCTCACTTAGCTTTGTCTTGCTAAGCTTAGGGGGCACATACATCATCAGTTTTGTCTGCACTACATCCGTTTCAAGGCCACTGTCAATCATGCATGCTTTTTGACTTTCTTGTCTCAAATTATGATCCTTTATTTTTATTAATTATACCCACATGGTGGAGCAACCTCTCTTTTGGGCCAAAATAGCATCCTATGAGAGATATATAGTTCTAGAATGAGTTAGTCTTATTTAACCAAAAAGGTTTGGTCTAACAAAAAAAACTAATCTCTCATAACATAATCAATTAAGATTTGAATTCCTACGAAGAGAGGTGCTCACATTTAGTATTTGATAGTATCTCGAATAAGATTACTTCCAATAAAAAGATACCTATATTTTAGTAAAAAAAGTGTTAGTCTTATTTATAAGATGCACATAAAATATTTCTAGAATTTTAACTATTTTATTTTCATTTTAGACCTTACTGATTAAATGTTGTATGAGCGCATTAATTACTTCACTCATCGTCTCACTCTCTTCTCATAAATAAAAATCTTTTTAATTTTTAAAAAATAAAATAGATATTTTACATTAAATTACCTTAAACCAATTTTAACCTATTTTTGATGTACTGATTGCAAGAAGTAAATTGTAAATACTTTGTTTTGAATTTGGAGAGTTTTCAAGACTGAACTCACTAAAATATTTTTTTTAAACCAAAAGAAGAATGTAAATACTTATAAAATTCTGGGAAAACAACTCTTATATATTCCAACTTTACAAAACTAATAAGAAAGACTTCAAATGGTAAGAAATTAAAAATTTAATATGTAATAGATGGCAAAAAAAAAAATCTAGCATGTAATAATAATGGTGGCATCATATCGCTCTTTTGTAGCTTCTGGGAGAGTGATTTCCTAACAAGTAACTAGTCCTATGATTTTAAAAGTTTGAGTAGTAATTTTAAAAAACCTATGATACAATTGATGAAAGAAAGTTAAAACTTGATTGTTGATAGTAGAAACTGTTTTACAATTTTTCTTTTGGCCAAACTTTACAATATTATCTTAATCTTTTAATTATTATCATATATTACCTCCCGTCTACAAACAAGATTTTATTATTATAGCCGGAGGTAATATGTTATGTGATATGATTTTCCCTTCACAATTTTTTTTGGGGTGAAAAATGGGTTTTTCCTGACAGTTTTCTTATTACAGTCCTTTTCTGTTTCTATTTTGGGAAAATTTTGATTTGATTTTATTTTATAAGCTGAAATATTACAGTGGTGGGTAAAAAATAAAAAATAAAAAAAAGGGAGCAAAGCGTAATTCATTCGAGGAATCCCACTAACTAACGCCCAGCTAACCCACCAAAATCTGATCTCTCCCATTTTCTCCATTAATCTATCAGGTAAGTTCTATGTTCACCTCGGCTTATATGATGATCAAGCTCTGGCTTCGTTAGATAATAATTGAATGTAATCGAGAGTTGAATGGCATTATTTTCCCCTTGATTTTCTCGAATATGAATGCATTGACGAACGATGCCTTTTATCACAATAATTGATGTTTGTTTTGTTGGCATTCTTCAAGTTTGGCAAGTTTGAGCTGAATTTCGTGGTGGAACTGGGATGTTATCTGTTATTTATATTTTCATCACCACGATCTGCATTATGGAATATAAAAATAAAATATTTGCTGATTTTCAACTCTTTCTTGGTTATAAGTTTCCTTGGAGTTTTCCCATGATTATGGCATTTTTCTCTTGGGTGTAACTGTGAACTGTAACAGAGTATTTTGACATTAATTGGATTTATTTCGAATTAAAATAGAACTGGAGAAAAAAAAAAATCTTTCTCTACCGTGGCTCACTGTGAAGCAGATAACCCTGTCGTGTAGTATGCGACAGTCTGACATATGACAACACTGTAAATTGCATCTAAACAGTATTCTATATATTTGCCTCTTCATTGTATAATGTTTTGTATCTATTAGTGCTTTTAGGAAATTTTCTCTGCAAGCAATTTTTATATTACAGCCGCATTCAAATTGAACTTTGAAAGTTACTATGAGAATTTTGACTTGCGCAGATAAAGCTGGAATCTTTAGATTGATCCAAGGAAGAGCTCTAGAGCAGTTGCTTCATTTAGGTTGAGATCTTATATTGGTATCTTTGTGAAGATGGTCGAAATTTAGTTACTGGTTATTAGTTCATCCAGATATCCAAACCTGAACAGTTGTTCATATGCTAGTTGTTTTAAGATAACTTATGTTATCGGACTTGGTGGCAAGTGATGATATTAATAGGCCATTGGCTGTCCTGAATCGCGTTGGTGTATATAAATGGCTATAACTCGATGTGATCCTACAGAGTGACTTGGATTCAGAAACAGAAGTTTTTAGAAAAACAATCAGCAACGATGATAGTGGAAGCCTAGTTTTCCCTGCCTTATTTGCCTTTTCTTTTTGAGAGATTTCATTTTCAGGTTGGTATAATGAAAGATGGAGTGTTCAATGTGAATTAGCAATTTGTTAATGTGGATGAGATAGAAGACCACTCTGATTCTGAATGCCTTTTCTCTGAAAGGAATGAACTTTGAAGTAAACCTGTAGATAGAGACTCTTTCGATAAAGGGATTATGCATATGAAAGGTATTGGCAACATGGATAATGAATCTGTTCATTTAAGGGCTACTGGAACTGAGAAGCACGTGCCTTTTGACATTGAAAATGGGACTGCAAGGGGTACAATTAGTGTTGGCTCCCCCATATCTGTGAATTCTCACGGATCATTAGAAAAAATCTCCAGGAATTCATTTTCTGTCTTGAAGACGTTGTTTTTCATACTTCTGTGGTACTCTTGCAGCCTATTTTTGACCTTGTAAGTTCCTTCTAATAGATGCCCTGCTTAATGTTATTCCTGATGCAAATTCTTCCTCCTTTATTTCTTATTCGGAAATGGTTTGAGCAGGTATAATAAAACTCTGTTAGGACATGATTTGGGAAAGTTCCCAGCTCCTTTATTGATGAATACTGTTCACTTTGCAATGCAAGCTGTGGTATCAAAATTCATCATTTGGTTTTGGTCTCATAAATTCCCAACTAGTGTGGTCATGTCTTGGAGTGATTACTTTTTGAGAGGTAAACATTCAATTTCTCTGTAATTCTTATTCTGTAAAATTTTGAATTCAAAATTTTTTATGATTCATCTGATTTTGAAATAGAATCCATAAATTTAAAGGAGATGATTGACCTGAGAATCAGCCAACCGATATCTTGAATCAAGGAGGAAAGTAAGGAAATAAACACATAACAAAGATAAACTGATATATAGAAATAAACAAAGGAAAGAACATAAGTTAACTACGATGCTAAAATTCCATGATAAATAGGGGACAATCAGGAAATGGAAGAACCCATAATTATGAGATTCTAACATATTCCTTTCTTTCTCTGTTCTCTCTGTTTTAGTTTGCTAAGCTGGCTAGCGGAGCTAAATCACTCTAATCATCTTTCCTTCTTGTGACTCTTGTTTTTCTTTATGCCTGACATCTCGGAATAATGTGTATTCTTTAGTTGTAAGTCATTGGCGACAACTCTTGTGAGTTAGTCATTGTTTTTTTTTCCTTTGCCTTCCCAGGATTCTAGTGGAATTGTTATTCAAGCCGTGTAACCTCCATAATGGCTTATAACATGGAGGCATTGTGTGTTAATTTGGTTCCCCCCCCCCCCCCCGGTGGAGAAGTGGTTTTTGGTTTTGCAAGAAGAGCACTCAGATGAACTAAAAATTTTACCTCAGAAAAAAAAGGTGTTTTCAGCTTATTCTGTAAAAATAAAAAATCCCCCCCCCCAAAAAAAATCTTCAGCCAAAACCAAATCTTGTATATTTCTTGAAACTTAAGCCATAATTATCTATATCTTTCTCAATGCTTGCAAATGTTCAAACCTCCTTTATGATTGTCCCAGACTGAGCCTTTGGACATGCCACGTTTTCTATTTATTTTATTTTCTCCCCTATCATGCTGTTCTTCCACACTTGCACTTTTATGGTAAAATTTTAACCGCTTATTATATTAACTTTTCTACCAACTAATGCCACAGATGGACTTTGCCTTTCACAGTTGTACCGACTGCTCTAGGAACAGCAATGGATGTTAACCTGAGCAATGCATCTCTTGTTTCCATCTCTGTCACATTTGCTACAATGGTTTGTGATATATCTTTTCTTTTTCATGTACCATGAGAGAATGAAGGTCGATTTGTTCTTTAATTTCTTTAAAAAAAGTTACTGAATCCTCCACATTTTTTATTTCACTGTTGTGGAAGTAACTTCTTCATCTACATTTTTCATTTCATTGCAGTGCAAATCTGGTGCTCCTATTTTTCTCCTTCTGTTTGCTTTTGCTTTCAGGTAATTTTTCCGTTTGATCTTTGTAACTTATCTGATTGGGGAATAATGCTGAGAAAAATACTTGTCGCTGATTGATTTTGGAATACAAGCTTCTGGTATACAAAAAGGTCCTGAAGTCCAAGCCAAACTTACAGGGATATGAAAATAATCAAAATCTTTACACTCATATACAACTCAGCAAATTCAATTAAAAAATATTCTCATTAATGATAAAATGTACATGTGCCCACACTAATTGTATAATTGAATGATTAAATATAGTTGAAAATTCTAAAATATGAGATGTTGAATTACTAAGATGGTGGAGGGTAGGACTGTGTGCCTGTTGATAGGATGATACTTGTCCCACGCAGAAGACAAAATTAGTTAGTTCGCATGTTGTATGCCCAAGGTTAGTGATTTTGCCAGCAAAACAGAACTGTGTCACTGATAACACGCACTTAACAAGACCCACAAGTTTGTTCTCTAAATTACTTCTAAGAATGCGTGCTTTGAGGACAGCGTTGCCTACTGTCTTAAAACCCTACGAAACTAAGATTGTTGAAATCTTCAACTCTCAGGAATTTCACCTTCTTCCTTGTCATGCTGGGATTATAATAAGTTCTGGTAAACTCTCAATTCCCAAGTAATATCCTCAACCAAGTTTCCATATTTTCATAGGTTCTTGTGTTTCTAGTTTGGGTATGTCTTCCCGGTTATTCTCACGTTGTTCTGGAGTCACTTCTGTTTGGTATAAGTTATTTTGAGTATTTGGTAGATGTTTGTGTGGTCTGAGTTTGGGGAAGTTCTTATTAATTTACTTAATAAAAATTTGGAAGATCGAGGAAACAACTTGCCTTTGCTGTTCTTTTCTTCACTTATTCGGGTGTTTCCTAATGATCATATTTTGCCTGGGTGCTTCAGTGTTCTATGGTGGTTTGTGACTACTCCAATGCTAAATATTCCTGTGCTTGTTTTGTTTGATATTGCCGTACTCTACAATATGTCTATTATGTGTTATAATCTCATAAAATGTAAACTGCTCTCCTTTCTTTTCGTTGCAAGTGGATATTACAATTTATTATTCATTTTTAATAGCATTAAAAAAAAATCTTCTGCTATTTGGATAGAACATGTCATTCTGGTTGTTTAACTTTTTAACTTTTCCACATACTTTTTTACATATTTCGGATGAATGTTTCTACCACTGTCTGTCACCTGATTTCTGCCAGCTAATTGCAAATATTGATTGCAAGGTTGGAGACGCCAAGCTTTAAACTATCAGGCATCATGATAATTATTTCTATTGGGATACTGATGACAGGTATAGAAGTCACCTCTCACTTTCACACCTATTCTTTCACAATTCAATAGGCATTGGGTTGCAAAGAAAAAATCAGAGGTTTAGCGCAGTTGTGGCTGCATTCAAGTTCAGCGATTAGGCTTGGTCTCTCAGGAAGAATGATAGGCAGAATATTTATTGCCCTTGAATTATTTTCAGTATTAAATACTTCAAATGGCATCCAGACAGGAGTGTTTTTTTTTTTTTTTTTTTAAAGGAACAACTACAGCAAATTCACACTCTTACACCTCGCAGACCAAACCCGCTACCTTCCCTCTATGAGAAGGATTTTCATGTCACTATGGTGTCACCCCGCCATTGGCACCATCCAGAATGAAGCTAAGAATAGTTATTTTGTGCTAATCGAAAATCACATAAATAGTTTGCTGACAATTTTTGGCATCAATTATCAGAATTTGGCACATCATATAATTTCTTCCACATAATTCCTATTCAGGTTTCAAGTGGGTGATAAATAATATTTTCCCTATCACAAAAATTTTAGAATTGTGATAAGATGTTAAAACAGTCAAAAAATTATGGATTTATATATTGATTGTGAGCTTTTTTTGTAAAAAAAAAATGTTAATTTTACCCTTGTAAGACCCACCCCAATGCCCAGCCCTCTTGATTCTTCATTTTCAAATGAAATTTATCAATTTAACTTCGTAAGCATTAGTTATTTATATAGGTTGTGAGCTTTGTTTCTGTGTACTGTAGTGGCAAAAGATACAGAATTCGAATTTTGGGGATTCGTATTAGTTATGCTTGCTGCTGTTATGTCTGGTTTTCGCTGGTGCATGACCCAAATCCTTTTGCAAGTATGATATCTGAATTCTTATTTCTCTATAAGTTTTTCTTTCTTTGTGTACCCGCAAATGTACAAATGTTATTGTTTCTTTCGGTTTCCTCCTTTAATGACTTTGGATTTTCACTCCATTTTTCTGGATTGGAACCTGATTCCATTTTCTTCGTGCATGTCATCATCAAAAATTAACGTGAAAGAAAGAAACATATGGTAAGTTCTCTTTGCAATTCCATTCCAATAATTTTATGTCAAATGTTGTCATACATATTTTTATAATATTTTATGTTAACATTCTCACTTAAGATCATTATTATTCAGTTCATTTATAAGCATTATTCAATTTATATAATTTCTCCTTTTATTTGGAAAGAAAACTACTCGTTTGATTCTGGTCAAATTTAAGGCAGTTCAGCTATCATTTTAGTGACCACATAGTTTTACTTTGCCTTACTGGAAAGAAAGAAGTAGCTTCTCAAAGCTTGATGATAGTGTAGAATTGTTGATGCAGAAGTGACAGTTTTATGCATGTAGTTGTGATATATGAGAAAACCACTTTTTCCATAACCATTTTGCTCAACTGTGCTCAATGTTAGTCTAGCATATTAATCTGAAGAGTTTAGCAAACTATAATATCCACGTTATTATAAGAAGTTGATCACACTCTGTCAAGAACCTGTCATCTTTAAAGATTAAACTTTCAATTATAGGCCCTAATATGATTAGTAAAAATCTATCTAACGTGCTAGCTCATGCAAGAGCCATTTGGTTAGGTAGGTCCCAATGCTTATCAAGAACCAATTCAACCAAAAATCTTGAGCTGTTAAGAGGAGGTCCATTAGTGGTTTTTATTTTATTTTTTATTTTTTTTATATATATCATGCAACTTTGACTCTAGTTGAAAAGCTGATATGTCCACTATGGTGACTTTAATTTTAAGAAGAGGATATTGCCAAATAAAATGTCACAGAAGGAGAATAACTTCATTGACATAGAATTAATTTTCCCATCTGCCTATGCCACGTTTACAAAGAAATTGACTCCTTTTTTATTGGCAATAAATTTTTGGCAGAGTAACCTCCCTCACCAATTGTGTAAATGCTTTTGAAGCCTATCTTTCTTAAAATTTTGTATGCCTGAATTAATATGCCTGAAAAGCTGAACCAGATACAGGAAATGAGAAATGGTGGGCATAGATCAATGAAAGGAAGTATGTCACTCTAGGAATTTTACGTTTAAGATAGGATTCTTGTTCATTTTAATTCTAGCAGAAGTTTGTTTATGAAAACTATACTATAGCGTATAGGATAAAGGTGTGTTTGAGTTAAAATAGTGGACTTGATATATTGGTGGCCTTAGGTTGCAAGACCTAGAGATATTACAGTTTCTTGTTTTCTACTGAAACCTTATTGGGATTGAAACTCATAATTAGACCTTTAGAGAAGTATGATAATTTAATATTTAGAAAAGAATAAGAATTTATCTTATTCATCAATCAGGCGTGATTGATTTGAACTCTCGCTGAATTGCCATTGTCTGATGTTTTGTTGTTTGAATGCTCTTCCCTTCAGTTTCTTCTTAACCAATGTTTACTTTCAAGTTAGAACTTACTAGTGCTGTTACTTGTTGCCAAAAATTTGATATGTAGTTCTAAAAATAATTTCAGGTCTGAAAGATCCACTTGCCTTGATGAGCTACGTAACGCCGGTAATGGCAGTGGCAACAGCTCTTCTCTCTCTTGCCATGGATCCCTGGGATGAGTTCCAAGATAACAATTACTTTGATAATCCATCGCATATCAGTCGAAGTTGCTTGCTGATGATTTTTGGTGGGGCACTGGCCTTTCTGATGGTAGGATTTTGCCCTTTATCATGCTAATATGCTTAATTTACCTAATATGTATTTGATCTGTCATTAATAACCTCTCTTGTTTAATTTAATTGTATATCGGTGAAATTTGGTCTGTTTCCTTAGACATATAAATCTTGTTCTTGCTGCAGGTATTAACTGAATACATTCTTGTCTCTGTAACTAGTGCAGTCACTGTCACAGTAGCAGGGGTGGTCAAGGAGGCTGTCACCATTTTGGTAGTTAACTATTGTTTTATGATTTCCATTTCTTGATGTGAATATTAATCATTGTTTCTCGATAGTTTTTAGTCCTTTTATTTCTGTACTACCTGTACTGAGTAAGACATGATTGTTCATGGAATAGTTGTGACATGAGTAAAACATGACGTGAAGACACTAGCGTTCATGGAACCGTAACATCAGTGGCTCTTTTTTTTTTTTTTCCCTCTCCCGCCAACCATTATATCAGCGGCTTCATAGCTGTGCTATTTTTCAAGAAATGCAAGAGTTTGTGATAGATATTAAGATATCAGTAAAGATTTATTACTCATCATGTAAAATGCTTTCAGGATTGATTAAATTCACTCTAGAATTTTTCTTGCATGTCACTTCATGAGGTGATAATCCACGTCATTGTTTTACTCTTTCCTATTGGATAAGAAGACTGAAAACTGTTATCTTAGCTATCAGGAAAATATGAACAAAATTACTATATGCTGTCAAATGTCAATGAAAATAAACAAAATCTGGAGTTTCAATTAGGTGTTTTAACCTTCTTTATGTGCCTTGCAGATATTTATCATAAGCGAGATTGATAACGTGATTAACATAGAAACCTAGGGGTATTTGGGCCATCTATCATACAGTTATTAATCAATCAAGTACTATAATTTCCATAAGTGTATTATATTTATTTCTTTTACTTAAATATATTCTCATCCTGCGATCTCTGATCTGACATTTACTAGCATCTGACTTACTGTTTTCATGCTACATGTATCCAGGTTGCGGTCTTGTACTTTCATGATGAATTTACTTGGTTAAAAGGATATGGTCTCATCACTATTATGGTTGGGGTCAGTTTATTCAATTGGTACAAGTAAGTCGTCAGCATCTATATGTTTGAAGCAACAAGTTACGTGGCCCAAGTACTTGTTTCTCCCCTTTGATTTTATACTCTGATACTTTGGGGCATTCAGTACTGGTCTTATAAAATACTTTGGTTTTTCAAAATGCATGGCAATCTGCTGTACCACCAGAGTGGGACAATTCTCTTGTTTCATGTTTCAAATACTGGAAATGGTTGCTTTTTCATTTACAACAGACTTTCGAGTGTGCTCAAATTCCAGAAGTTTGAAGTTTATGTGGCTGATTTTTATTTTTTTTTTGGGGGAGGGGGTGGGATTGGGTATCCGCATTTTTTGTTTTACATGGATCTTTGACATTTGGATAGATTCAACATAATGCCTTTTGCTTTTATGGTTTGATGTATTATTTAGCTATTTTTCCCTTTTTCTTTTTTTATCAAACTCTAAATGCAAAATGAATAAATCCATGAATTTTAAGTTTATATCACGCACACCGATGCAATTGAACTTTAGGATTCTTGCTCAAATCAATAAAATATACTAACTTGATTTCCAATGTCATATTGGTGCACCTCAGTTATAATATTTCTTTTTAAATTTCAGATACTGGAAGCTTAAAAAAGGCCATGCAAGTGAAGATCTCACGGGAGGGTCACCAAAAGATTCTGTGGCAAATTATGTTATCCTTGAAGAGAGGGAGGAGGAACATGATAGGTAGTACTCGACACATTTACAATTCTATATGATGCAAAATTGCAAATCTTAGTGCGATGACTTATAGCCTTAGATAAGCACAGACGCATATACTTTGGATTTTTAGTCCATGCAACACGTTAGAAATGCACTCAATTAGTCAATCTATAACTTGGTCTTCTGTTAAACAGAAAGGCCATGGTCAAACTCAAATAAGGGCTTACAACTTTAACCAACTGCATTTATGGAAATTTTGGGCCTTTCCCAGAATATTTCGTGCTAGACAGTGATTTAATAACAATCTCAGTCAATTTGCCATATGTTGGTTCAACCCAAAGACTGTTGAGTGATGGGACCATGGAGGATGAAATACAACTCCTAATTCACGCATCATAATTGGCATCACTAGAGTGAAAGTTGATCATTTAGTGGATGAAATTTCAACCGTTGGCTCGTCTGATGCACTGTGGCTTTTCTAGTGTTGGATCTTCTATTGCTTGTACATCATAGTTTACCATAGTTCATGTATTCAAAAGGCATATTTTGCATCCTTTTTGGTTTCATTTAAACGACAAGACTCCAAAAATTCCATAGGAACACATAACATTTCATGCATGTTTGCTTAGGCAAATATAGTGGATGAAATGCAGTTTGCATTCTGTGTGAATTTCAATTCTGAACAAATTTTAGTTGCCTAATTAAACTTGTCACTTTCTCGCATATAATTGTAAGGATCCATTTGGAATGAGATGTAGCCTAACTTGGTTTGCATTAATTATAGCTTGGAATGAGTACGTGGCGGCTCAGCTTGAGTCATGTTTGCAGTCCCATGTTTAAGGATGCTTCCTGTTGTACCTGGGGAAAGAAAATTTTCAGATATGTTGAGCTATTACCGGCATTAACGCTGATATCGGAGAAGCTTACCTTCCTCTAGCTTCTTTAATTAGAATGTGTGGTTTTCTGTAAGAATGTGCTGAATCAGAAACAGATTTTGGCATTCTTTTTACGAGAAGATAATAAATACAGTGTAGATTATTACAGGTTGTAATAGATCAAATGTCTTCCTTGCTTCTTTTTTACTATCGTGGAGGAATTTTTTGTTGCTCATCTTGTTGTAATCATTTTGCCATGCAATAATTGCATTTCAAAAGGTTATTGTAAAAATAGTGCCTCATCAACGCGCACAGACTTGAGGAATGTTTATACGCTTGGTTTGGTTTTATCTTCAACCAAAATTGAATTGGATTTAGCATTGTCCACCTAATTGGTGTGGCAAAATGGATAATCTGTTCACTTGAGCTTTGGCCTGCATGGCTTAATTTTCAATTCCGTTAATATGGCTCAACTTTGGATTCGGTTAATGAGTTTTTCCCCCAAGTAATTTAATTTTTATTTTTTTATATTTATCTTTTACCATTTTAATTGGACTTTTATGCCCATGTAGGGTCATAGAGGAACCAATCTCAAGAATAAATTAGAGAAACATTTAAAGCATCGTACAAGTAAGTCAAAGCATCCATCACTTGTCACCTATGAAGCACGCACATGAATCACTTCTGTGTCTTGAGATATGATACAATAGCTGGGATATGATAATTTCTCAAATTTTAAGTTCTAAAATGTGGATAAAGCTGTATACATGAATTATATGGACAGTCAACAAGTTGAATCACTAAAAATAAAAGGTACTAAAAATACAAAAAATAGTAATATCAATGATAAACTAAGTCACGATCAAATTTCCAAAATTTACAAACAAATTCAAGCAACAAAACAATTGCCACAATTTTCGATGCAAATAGTATATCCACCATTCCTTAAGCTCTAAATCCCATCTATCCTGGGAAGCATTCTTCAGTTGTTACAAATTTGAGAAGATGGCAGTTTTTAAATCTTGTCCAGATCAAGTAAGAAGTTAAAATGGTCAAGATAACCCACATTTCGATAACAGAAATTACAAGTCCGTAAATGACTAGGACTCTTCAGAGTGAAAAATTACAAATTTGTTCAAGCAAAGTACATGTTTCCTTACAAGATAATCACATTTACTATTAAACTCATTGGCCTATTTTGCAAATATCCTCGTATTCCATTGCCTTCAGGACTCTACCATCATAAGGGCCTTTCTCTATCTGCACCTTGGCACAAAAGTGATCCGTATCAACCCCTAACAATCTTGCTGCAGATCCACGATAAGCTCCATTTACAATCTTGACAAGACTACCAACTTGTGGAATCACAGTTTCAAGCTCCGCCTGATCAACTCTAAGCACATGCTTGCTTTCAAGCATTTCTATTTCCCCAACATACTTGTCAATCACCTTTAACACAACACCTTTTTGCCTGTAATACCCTTTATCAGCCAAAGCTTTGCTCATGACTTTAACAACAATCCCCTCATGCAACCAGTAATCCTTTCTATTAATCTTCTCCCTTTTCTTCTCATCTTCCCGCATCAATTCGTCCAATGTTGATTTTCCACCACCAATTTCTTTCCTCTTCAAAGAGCCTCCACGGTTGCTTTCTTCCTTTTTGGCATCCTCAACCTCATCGAACACAACCTTCGGTCCCCCCCATTTTTCCTTGGTTACAGGTTTTGCTGATGAACCAAGAGAAAACCCAATCTTAGTTCCATCTTCCACTTTTAATTCTCTAGGAACCTCAGCCTGTGAAGGCTGATCAGATCCAGTGGCAGATGGCTGCATTAACTGCTCAGCTCTTTCTATTTGTTTCTGTATCTCCTTCTCTTGCTTCTCTTCTTCTGCCATGTCAGACTTTATTCTCTTATTCTTCATCCTCTCTTTGAAAAGAGTCTCAGAATCTCTATCAATGTAAGTGATAAACCAACCCTTAGGTGTTTCTTCGACCTTGCACTTTCCAGTCCGACCCAAATACTTGACAAACTCAGTTAGTGTAAGCCACCGTGTGGAATTCATATGAATGTGATGTCTATCATTAATGTATTCATTGTAAACTACTGTGGCAGCTATACGACTGAATCGGTGGCTGCGCTTCATGTGCTCAAGAAAAGTGTTCTCAAACTCTTCAGAGTATCCCTCAACTATCCGTTCTGGGTTCTGCCCAAAGATTTGCATTTGACGCTGGTGACTTTCACTCATGCAATGACACTTAAACCCATTCTCATCTCGACATTGTTTCTGACACATCTGACAGTACCACCGAAGCTTCTGTAGCCCCTTTGCTTTGATGCGATTAGCAATTGCCTTGGGTGTGAGAAACTCATTCTTTCCCATTGCCAATCTACAAATGATGATTTTCGAAATTTAATGATTGCTGTGAATAGCAACCGAATCAGATATTTAAATGATGACCAAAACAAATATGGGTCGATATATATATCTCTATATATATATAACAGCAGATGAAAAGGCAGAGACAAGGAGAGGGAGCATCAGTACTTTCTCGCGTAACAGCAGATGAAAACGCAAAGACAAGAAGATAGAGTCATGAGAAAGGGGAAACGCAAAACAGTAACAAGATAAGAAACAACGTCAAAGAAGAAGAGATTACATACCAACAAACAAATTTCGAGGTTCCCTTTCCAATTTCTCTCGTGTCTCCTTTCGTTCTCTCTCAAATCTGTCAATTTCTCTGGCGCGTGAAGCCGTCGACCAAGGAGGACGAAGAACGGAGGAGTTGACTCCGATAACTTACAAAGTACGACGGCCCGCTGCCGCTGGATCCAACGGAGAGAATCACCGTGAAAGAAAGAATTCGGTGCGAATTCATGCCAATTATTAGGGAATTTTGGGGATTGCAGTAATTATTCTAAAACAAATTTTGAAAAAATATCGGGCCGGGCTGTAACATATTCGGCCCAACCAATTATTCTATCTTCGTTTTCTTCTATTCTTAATTAGGCCAGGGCGCCAGGCCCGAGAGCAGAGGACGTAATTGGACCTTCATTATACACTTCCTTTTTCCTTTTTCAGATTTTAACTTTCAATTAAATACTAGGAGAATTACAATCAGATCCTTAAAAAAGGATTTAATTACTTTAAAGTCTATTTATGAGTGAAGGGTAAGCAATGACAAATTTCAGAATATGAAATGACAACAGGTTTATTAAACTTTTTGGTAATTAAATTTCCTTCTTGGGACATGTTGGTAATTCTCCCTTACATCTTTCATAAAGAACATTTTAAAGCCGGGGTGGACACTGATCCACTTCTTATATTTTTTAACAATTTTTAATATTTTATATTCAGTCTTAAATATCAAAAATTAATCTCTCAAATTTATAATTTTTCCCCCTCAAAATATCCTTATTAATTGTAAGGTTTCTATTAAGGGGTAATTTTAATACATATAACTAAATATGAGAGTTTAGAAAAGTTAACATATATTTGTTACATATAACCAGTTCAACTAATTTTCTTAATATCTTTAGATTAATTATCTAACTCTTATACTCCTCTGATCCTATTTATAAGTTATTTCCAATATGTTTCACACAAACTAAAAAAAACCTTAAACTTCATTAACTCTCATTTGAAATTCAATAACTTTTCAACTTTATCCTTATTTAGTATATATTATACCTCATGTAAACAAAATCAACAAAATAATAAATGAAGGGTAAAATTGTACATCCATATACAAATTTTCCTTTTTCCTTTTTCAGATTTTAACTTTCAATTCAATACTGGGAGAATTACAATCAGATTCTAAAAAAAATTTAATTACTTTAAAGTCTATTTATGAGTAAAAGGTAAGCAATGACAAATTTCAGAACATGAAATGACAATAGGTTCATTAAACTTTTTGGTAATTAAACTTCCTTCTTGGGACATGTTGGTAATTCTCCCTTACATCTTTCATAAAGAACATTTTAAAGCCGGGTGGACACTGATCCACTTCTTATATTTTTTAAACATTTTTAATATTTTATATTCAGTCTTAAATATAAAAAATTAATCTCTCAGATTTATAATTCTTTTTTCTCAAAATATCCTTATTAATTGTAAGGTTTCTATTAAGGGGTAATTTTAATGTATATAACTAAATATGACAATTTAGAAAAGTTAACATATATTTGTTACATATAACCAGTTCAACTAATTTTCTTAATATCCCTAGATTAATTATCTAACTCTTATACTCCTCTGGTTCTATTTATAATTTATTTCCAACATGTTTCACACAAACTAAAAAAAAACTTTAAACCTCATTAATTCTCATTTGAAATTCAATAACTTTTCAACTTTATCCTTATTTAGCATATATTATACCTCATGTAAACAAAATCAACAAAATAATAAATGAAGGGTAAAATTGTACGTCCATATACAAAATTTGTCTTAGTATCCTATAAATAGGACCAAAAAATGTTTTTTCTTTCTGCCCTATTAATAGAATCAAAGGAGTATTAATTATCTAACTTAAGTTCCACTTGGCTAAAAGAGACCAGCACCTAAAATAATGATAAAAATTATAAAGCTAAAGTATGATTTCATTGAAAAAATTCATTTTTATTTCCTTTTCATGGATTTTCCTCAATCAAAACACACTAAATTTAAAGGAAAAAAGTATTACCAATGGAGCTTAAGGTTAAGGTTAGTCCCTCACAACAACATGGCGAATTAATGTTCTAATCTCTATTAAGAGAGATGCCCATGTTAATAGAAGGATATCCATGCATAATAAAAAAAATTTACACCAACAAAATATTAGTTTTTTCACACGGAGTTAACATTTACACTAAGAAACAAACAAGCTATACATCAAGCCCATTTGGCTAAGAGAGACATCAAAGCAGCACCTAAAAGTAGAGAAATATTGGCTGCAAGTAGAAGACGAATGTTTTTGAGCATTTTATCACTCATGAAATCGGCAGCTAAGAAATCAACAAGTGCCATATAAATTAAGATTCCTGCCGATGCTGAGTCAAATATGCCTTCGACAATAAGAGCAGTTTCACTATTCTCTTCATACACATTACTGATCCCCATTCCAATTGCTATTCCCGCCGGAGTTGTCAGAGCAAAGAACAATCCCATTATTGCTGTGGTTTTGTTGTCGAATTGGGCCTGCGATCATGCAAACAATCTCTAAGAAAAGTTAACTTATTTTAATTTTTTTAACTCAAAGTATCCTCAATCATTAATCACTTTAAACTTGAAATTAATTTATGTTGAGCAAGGAGCGTCAAATTTAACATCTTTATTAACAATTTGTCTTGAAAACAAGGATGCACAATTTCTATATATTTTGGATGTTTAATATTTCTTTCGATTGTTAACATATAAGTACTTAATTAATTTGAGTAAATTAAGCATCAAATACTCATGTATAATATTAGATTATATATCATTTTATAAGTTTTTTTACCTGAAATATCATTTTATAAGTTAGATAAATTAGTTTGAGAAAACATATAATGATAAATATGAAAATAAAATGGATAAAAATATTTATATGTAGGATCAAATCTAACCCTAATTAGCTCCTATGTTTTGAGGACCGGATGCATATTCATTTTCGGCGACAATGATCCAACATGAGCATGAGTTTTCTTAGTTTGGACTACAAATTACATAAGACCTTTGTTTGGTGTATATGAAAATGATGATATAGCTGCAGAAAGGGACGCTGTAGATGGAAGACAACAAGAATACACTTGAAATGAATAATTAAATGAGGAGGATATGATAAACAACGGGCGCCGGCGTTTACAAAATGTTCATAACATTTAAAAATTAAAGAACTAATAACAAAATTAGTCTTGTTACAGATATGATTCAATTAAAAATGGCCGTCATGTTGGAAAACTACCTGTTGTGATCGCAACAAATGAAAATATACAACTAGTTTTCAACAATTCAATGATAAATAACACGGCCATGAAAATAACGTATATAATTTTTCTATATTTCTTTTTTTGGTGATATATATTACTTCTAGTTATTAATATAAAAGTTAAATAACTAATTTGTGAATATTAAGTAAATTAGTTAAGTTAGTTATTTCTCATAAATAGGTAATCACTCAAAAAAAAAAGAAGGACCGGATGGAGTATTGTCTTTTCCACGTATGTGCATTAGAAATAGAAATTTCTTAGTATGTGTAATTATCATAATGACTATTTTGAGAAAAAATGAATCAATATGAGAAACAAAATATATTGGAGTTATATTTTTTATCAAATGGAACTTATAATTAGCTCTTATATATATTTTATCATTTATAGCAATGAAAAATAAAGATATTAAGGAATAACGTACGTACCTGAGTGATGCTGCTTCCAAGTCCCATGCCCTCAAATAATTGATGAAAAGTCAAAGCGGCAAGCAGAGGCTTTATAGTTTTGGGACTCTCAGATGCTCCTAAAGATATCCCAATGATCACTGAGTGCACTATTATCCCCATCTCCAATACCTACATTTATTATATATATTCATTCAATCCAGTTGTTTCACCACTCAATAGTACGATAACCCGAGAAACTGTCAGAGACCCGTATATGATGTCAACGGTTAATATATAGGGAAAATAGTTGTGAGGTCCAAGAAAACAATATAATCATAAAAAAATTATTAAAAACAAGTTAGCAGCATGGACCTTATTGTTATTTAATTTATTATATATACTGAAACTTGTCATTAATTTATTATAGGACTTTTTGGTTTTTCTTTTTTTTGCCAACGGGTTTTTTGGTATTATATTCCTTCATTGGGACAACAAAATGATTTTTCCATATATATATATATAATAATACAAACCTGTGATATGACTTTTTGACGAACTAGGAGCTGTTGAGAATGAGGATGTGTTGTGTGAGCATGAAGATGAACATGTCCTTCATGTCCTACGTGTTCCTCTTCATCTCCTTTCGCTTCCATCTTTCCTTTCTCCATATAAAGTTTCTTGAAATACGCAGTGGCGAAAGCGTCCACCATTAGGGTTCCTATGGCGGTAAACATGGCCACAAAACCAGTGAAAGGAAAATCTTCCCATACATGATTGCTCAAGCATGGAGATGTCAGGCGCTCGAATGCCTCCGGGAGCACGTGAATGAATCCGGTGGCTAAAATCACGCCGGCGGCAAAGGCCTTGATCAAGAAGAAGATGCCCTTCTCGGGACTTAATGCCGGAACAAACTTTCCCAAGACCGGAATTAGAACTCCGATTGCACTGGCAACTAGTATGGAAACTATGGCTCCTATCTTGTACCTAAGAGCCTTGTCTTTGTCACGATCTTCTTCTTCATCTTCACATGTACACTCTGAAACAACGAGGGGTAAAGAACTAGAAGGAGGAAGATGAAGAATGTGATAATTTTGGTGCTTCTCGTCATGGCTTTTGAAAAGGTAGAATCTAAGCTAGAAGTTAAAAGCAGATATGTGGGTTTAAGAGGAATCATATGGTGGTTTTTGTAGGCACAACAAGAAAGAGGAAAAATTGGCGATTTGATTAATGTGAACAAATTAAAAATACAATATTTGACGGAGAATACAGTTGGATGATTTGATTCCGACTTCGTAGTACTCAATGATGAGGTGTCATCAAATGTCGACATTAGATGTATGAACTAACAAGATCCTATTTAGTTTAAGTTTGTTTATCTAATCTAATGTCAACGGGGGTGCACGCATGAACACATACTCTGTCATGTTGAAATCTTTTCTTCTAATATGGTTTTAAGAATACCGATGCTGGTGATTATTTATTTTAAATTTTAGAAAATGAAGTGGTTTTTTTTGCCTCATCAATGCAAAACAAATTAAGTTTTGAAACTGTTGGTTGGAATTCGAAGCAGTCCGAATTAACTGAGACATGTTGATTTGATTTTCACGTCCTCTAAATGTATTGTGTTTCGAAGCAAAGCACGGTTTTGGACTGTTTCTCATGAAAAGTAAAATCTTTTTACACAAGTCAAGATAAATTTTTTCTCACATATTTATCTTGTATATTAGAAAATTATTTTTAAAAAATTAATACGAACACTCTTTTAAGGTATGGTTGTACTACCCATTGAGCTTTTCTTCTCATTCTTCTACTTCTAATAGGCCATGACTAGATCAGAACCATTCTCAAGGAGTCCAAAGAAGTGATCCCGCACATCAATGTAAGTTTTATTTTTTCCTCGTATCCATTTCACACTCCACTGTTGTCTACTTTTCTCCCTTTTTCCTTGTCTATCCATATTTGCTTTGAATTTGTATTGTGATTTTTTTTTTTTACATTCAATTTTATCTCATACTC